CAAGAAAGCAGTTCTTGCATTCAAGCCATATTTATTTATTTATTTATTTATTTATTTGAAATAAGTAACTATTTATTTATTCTATCCTTTAATACCTTAGGATTTCATTGATTTTATTTTTAAAGGAACATTTAACAGAAAGAAGTAGTAAAAGTGAGTGGACTTTTTCTTGAATTTACACCTTCTCAGGATATGTTCTTTATTTATTTTTTCACTTGAATTAAACTGTTTCTTCTCTAAACCAGCCATCTGGTATGTGCAATAAGTGTATCCAGAGGATATTAGCAAATAAAACTTACCTCAGCCTCAGCAACCCACTTCTTCCTGACCTGTTCTCTGTGAGTTTATGAAAGTTTTAACTATAACCCTGAAAATGACAACCTTGCACCTCTTTTTTTTAAAAAAAAAGTTTTCCTTCTTGCTTTTGGTTTTTATTCTTCTACACTAAAGGTATGAGTTCTGTCTAATTTATGATGACTGAGATTGTCGAGTTGTTTCATTTTTTTAATTGTGCCTTTTTTTACTCTGGGCCGTTAGAAAGGAACAGAGTGAAAAAGGGGGTGAATGTGATGCCACTGTGAAAACCATAGTTGTCTTTAGAACCTCCCACTGACCTTGGGCTGGCTCAGCCCCCCAATCAGCAGGAGTAAATTCCAGCAGCCAGGGAACAGAAATTATTGCATTTGTACCATGAGGGATGGCATATTCTTGTTTTTAAGGCAGTGTGTTGAAGAGCAAGGCAATATGAAATAGTTTCCTGGTTGTTTGGCCCACTGTAACACTTTCCAGTGTTTCTGTTGGGTGATCAGAAAGCAAATGTGCTCCTGACAACTGGGGGCAGTTCAGGCATGATTCACTCTGCACTCCCAAGCTTTGATTACTGCAGCAGCTCTTCAGTCCCTCTCTGCCCCGGGTGCCTTCGTGCTCATCACTGTCCAGCCTGGGGGACGCTCAGACTCTTGGAGGCCCTGGGCTGTAACCCCTCATTCTAACCAGAATTATCTCAGTAAATTTAACTTAACATCCTACCAGGCAGCTCTCTTTTATCCCAAAGCGATGACAACAGTGCCTGTTTGTTACCAACAGAACTAATTAAAGCCAAGTTTGATTTATTTAGAATTTAATTGAGACAAAGAATAAAACTTACTTATGCATTTTGATGACTTTACTTGAGGCTCACCTTTCCCTGCCTTTGGTTCACCAGGGCAATAAAAGATAATTAACCCATTTCTTGGTGCCCTGTAGGTTGTTACAACGTGCCTTGGTAAGACAGAGATTACATATCCATGGGGACGTTGTACAATATTGAAGGTGAAATGTTGAGGCAGAGGATCCCTGGGCTATTTAGTGCCGCTCCTTGTCATCACAATTTCTCTCTGGAATGCAAACCCCGTGCTCTGTTGGGTGGCCCAGAGCCAAACTTAGTGAAACATGCTGGTTAAGTTGTTTATTTATCAAAAGAAAAGAGGTTTGAAATTACCAAAGAAAAAGGGTGTGGTTTGGTGGTGGGGAGAGAGGAGTCCAGCTGAGGTACAGTGGGATTGCAAATGACACCTGCCAGAACATGTGTGTCTGCTTGTGACCATGGGGCAGCCAAAGAGCCATTGGGGTACAGCTTAGAAACCAAATCAGACCAACCCCAAACTGGGGTTTTGCTGTAGCTGCTTGTAAGGTGTGGCACACACAGCCTGGCATTGCCTGACCTTCACTCAGACATGCCCTCATCCATCCCTGGGGAGGCCAGACCTCCCACAGGTGCTCCTCATCCATCCCTGGGGAGCCCAGAACTCCCATGGGTGCTTCTCATCCATCCTTGGGGAGCCCAGAGCTCCCACGGGTGCTCCCCAGCCATCCTTGGGGAGTCCAGAACTCCCATGGGTGCTCCCCATCCATCCCTGGGGAGCCCAGAGCTCACAGGGGTGCTCCCCATCCATCCCTGGGGAGCCCAGCTCTCATGGATGCTCCCATTGCCTTCCTGGGACCTGCCCTTTGCCCCCAAGGCTTTCAGTGCACAGTTCAGAACCAAACGCCTGAGTTTCCAAGCTCCCCATAAAGAACTTTTGATAACCTTGAGTGCCAGTTTTCCCAAAAATGAAAGTGGTTTGCTCATCAAGGAAATTCATCAAGTTTATGCAGCGTTCCTTTTGAACTGAGTTTGCATTTCCTTGGGAGAAAAAAAATGTTAACCGTAAGAAAATGATCCGTAATCTCAGCACTTGTATAACTCCTGATTAACCTCAAAAACATTCACTCATGCTTTTTTTAAAAACACAAAGCCTAAAATGGAGAGTCTACTTCTTTTCTCAGAAGAGATTTTATCATTATAAGCCACTGAATGTCATCAGATAACCCATTATGTCGGCTTGACAAAGAGCTGACTCTGAACCGGGGTAAATGAGGTAAGAAAGTCCTTGGAACTAGAGCTGGGGATCATCTTGGCCTTTGAAAAAGAAAAGTCTGAGCAGCCTTGGAGAAGGAAGATTATCTTCAGCTAATTCCAGCTTTGGCCATGTGTAAAGCTGATACTCTGTGTATCCTAAGGATATCCATGTGCTCTGGGAGATCAATATTGACACTTTGGTTTCTATGTGTGCTTCCAAGATCTGAAATTTTCAAATTAACAATGAGCAACAAGAGAAATTTGGCGAGACATTTAAGACAATCTGAATTTCCATCCACTGCCCACCCAAATGGCTGAGTCTGTTTTAACTTGGAAAATGGTAATTAGTTCTAATTTATCATTGGTGCTTAAGCAGAACCTCAGTTGAAGGCACTGAGCCATCCTGCTTAATTGCCAGAGGCATATGGCAAAGTATGACTAAAACTATTTTGCTCCAATGCTAATGAGTATAGAAATTCAGGAACTGTTCAAAAACTAGTGAATACAAACCCTTAATAATGCCCAGGGAATGATGTCATTCCATTCCTGCCATAAAGAATCTGCCTTGCAGGAGCAGCAAATGCCAAATGATCGTTTGCAGAGTGAAATGATGCTGGTGAGCACTGTGGAAAAGCTGCTCTGCAAACCTGTTAATCCATTTTAAATGTACTTTCTTGGTGATAAAGATGAGTTATTGATGTGCTGATACAAACAATGTCTGTAAGCAGTGCTAAAACCCTGCAGTTGGTATTTGTGAAAACTAATCATCATTCCCAGTTTCATTTCCAATTTGCTCGCTTCTGTTTTCCTGAAAGGCAAAGCAATGTGATTGTACAATCCTTTGTATTTTCGTAGTTCTGCAAGTAAATTAAGCCCTCTCACAATTCCCTGCAAGGAGGAAATGTTGCTGTTCCCTTTGGCTCCTTAGGAAAGCCGTGAGATCCGTGCAGGGGTTTGCTGAAGGCTGCAGTGAGTCAGTGCTGTATCCAATATTACAGATTAAGATCGTGGCTCTGGGCTCTGCAGAGCCTCCACCAGGAGATCAATACTGCTGAACTGGGGGCTATTTTTAGTGGAGAGTTCACTTCACTCTTCCTTCATTTTCTGCCTCCTTGTTGAGCCTACCACCTTCCACACACCCCTTATAGAGAATAATAATCACACACCTCCTCAGAAGCTTTTTTTTTCTCTTCTACTACAAGTGGGAAAGAATTACGCTGGATATTTTCCTTGTTTTAATCTGCAAAGCAACTTCTCCTTATGATACCGCACAAGTTGTTCACTAATGTCTTTCCTAAAGTCTCTGAAATATGTTTTTGTCATTATTCATTAACCAAGAACATAATTATTAACAAATTTGATGCTGCAATGTTAAAAAAGAAAAAGGAGCTGCTCCTAGAAAACCTTCATGGGCAATATATTGGGAAATTAATGACATGGTAAATAATTTAGTCACTGAGTAAGGGGATGCTTCAGAAAACATCCCAACCATTACAGATGGCATTAAAGGGCTTTTTCTTTGGTTATGTTTCCTTTTTGATGAAAATAAGCTAATTCTTGATTTTTCCAGTTGCTGAACATTAAGAAGTGACTTTCCCCTCTCTGTGTTCATTTCCCTTTTTTCTAGTTTTTCAATTATATATTGTATGAATATCCAGTAATCTTACATGAAGAAAACTCTGAACCTAAAATAAACTATAATACTTTCCCAGTGAAGCAGAAAATCTCATCTTTGATCAGACTAATTAATTTTGGGATAAAGAAAGAAACCAGAACATCTGATGTGAAATGTAAATTTTGCAGTACTTTCAATTTACCAAGTTTTGGTATAGAAACCTAAGATTCCATTTAAAAAAAAAAAAGGAAAATGAAGTTGATATCACAGCTCAACAAGACTAAACATTTATATCACCAGTATTGTGAATCCAAACTAGCAAACAGCCAGTGGAATTCTGCCATAGGCTGTTTTAGCTTTCTGAGGATGCAAATTTAATACAAGTTATTCCCTAATACAGGTTTTCATACAATAATTATCATCATTCTATTTTCTAGTATTTTGGAAATTTGGTCAAGTTCTTGAAATTGTTAGGAGTAGCAATCAGAATAAATGTGATGTCCTCCTGCACACTGTGTCTCTGGAAACCATTCCTCACAAATTTGCAGAAGCAGCATAGAGAGGGTTTGGTTCTGCTTAAGGGGGACATTCTCTGCTCTCCACAGGCTATAAAAATCCCACTTATTCTTTGCTGAAGTTGGCATGTTTGTATGTGAGCTCCACACTTTCCTGATGATAGAAGGATGATTGATGTCCTGGTCCTTCAGGGTTCCAGGCAGCAGAATAAAATGCCAAGGTCTGATCCTGTATGAGGTAAAGACCTCTAGCAGATGTGACCATGAGTCCAGAAGAACTTCTGCAGTGGCCTGAACTGGGATGTCCTTCACTTGCAATTATTCACCTTTGAACACTCCTGGCTTGTGCTTTTAACAGCCTGAACAGTGCTCAGGTTTTGCATTAACCATTGTCTCTGACTTTTCCAGAGGTTAGGAATGTGTGTGCCCTCAGATTTACATAAGATGTGCCTTTTAAGTATCTCTTCCCCATTTTTTATCATTCTATCAGATGGATGAATCGTTTGGGTCTTGCAGCAATTGGTTACACACCTGATGACAAGGACATTCATCCAGATGAAGGTAATGCTTCAGTGATTATAATTAGGAGAGGAGAGCAGACAGCAGAGATCTGTTCAGTGTCTCAACAAACTTGGAGATGTCATAACTGACTCCTTTATTAACATATGGCCGTATCTTTTCAAATACCAACTTTTATAAGAATCCTTATCCTTGAAGAACTCCAGTTATTGGTGCCACCACTAAAGAAAATAAAACCCTGAGTAATAATTTTAAGAAATATTTAAAATAAGTGATAAAGAGAATTCAGGGTTCAGGGTGAGGTGTGATCTCCCATATCCCAGCCCTCAGGGATGATCATCCCCCTAAAGCAAGTGAAGACACCACAAACCCAGGCAACATGTGCTTTTTGTGCCTCCTGAGCTCAGGTTCCAGCCTTGTCTTTCCCCACCACCCACAGTGGAATTATGCTGACACAATAAAGTGCTGAGGTTCAGCTCTACTTTGGCATCTGGAATGAAGTTTCTCTTTGACAGTCTGTGACCTGAAGTTGGGGTTTAGGTGCAGTGGGAGTCAGGTGCCCAACCTGCTTTCTGTAACGCTGCCCTAAAGCATTTGGAGATTCACGTACAGATCTGTGTTTCTCAGTGCCAGACATTCCCACAAGCCTGTTCCTTGTGGCTGCCAAGCCCTGTGGATGACTGGGGAATGTTTACCTTGCCTTGCTAATGATGTTTTTAAAATGTGGGACCTGCTTGGTTGTGGAAAAGCACAGGAGTGAAACCAGGAATGCTTTGTTAGCAGATTACTGGAGCGAGAGTGACCAGGACGACATCGATGGCTCGCTCACCCTGAAGCAGGAGGGCACCTCAACACTGTGTGACACCTACCATCGAACACCCTCAGTGAGTCCCAAATGTTGCATTTGACAGTAGGTCACCAAAAAATCTCTGTGTGCCTTGAGTTGCACTTTCCCTGTTTTGGAACATTTAATTGCCGTAAAGGTGGAATAAAGCCGGATCTCATTGTAAGAATGAAATTATTGCTGTTCCTCATGAGCCAAGACCTGGAGGTTTCCATAGCAAGTCAGTTACAAAGGAAGGAGAGGTAAATATCTCCTGACACAGATCTGTCACCACACTGTAAATATGACTTTTTTTTTGTAGGATTGGTGAGACTACACCTGATAATAGGAACAAATATTCAAATGTTGACTTCACTGCAGAGCATGAAAAGAATGTGGTGGATGGGATAGTTTGGATTAAATGAGACTGTTTTTCAACTATGAGTATTGGATACTGGGGGATAGAGATTAAGGTCAGCTCACATTCATGCAGTAATCATGTTTTAGTTCTTCTTCTCAGAACAAATCTTTCTAGGCAGGGGGTTTTTGTTACAATATTGTGCACAATACCATAGTAGTGATAGTATTGCAAATAGAACGTTTCTATTAGACAAAACACAGACAGGCTGTGATAATTATTCTATGTTTCTAAACACAGATAGGACTGTTCTCTATTTTTCTTTCAGATTTTTCTTCAGCGTGAATGACATGATCCTCACACAGCCAGAACCAAAGAAAGAGTGACTGAGACAACAGCATCACATGGGTGAAGCTCAGACTGATTTTCACCCATGTGATGCTGTTTTATCAACTGGGATACAGGTTAAGCCCCTCCCTTTCTGTTTTTCCACATTTTTGCCTTTCTCTTTATTTTTGAATTAAATTTATACACAGACCCAGGAGAATTAATTAAAATAATTCCAGAAGTTCAGCAGTCCCCCAGTCAAAAATCTTCCTGGGTGCTGAAATTTTTGTTCTTTGGGTTTAGTTTTTGGTTTTTTTCCTTTGGCTGGATACATATCCCCTAAAAAGAGAAAATAAATCCAATTATGGTTTCTTTTTGGAGACTCCCATGTCTTCATGGCATACTGCTGGACTGAGTGTAAGCTGGGCAGGTCTTCAGGAAACCTGCATCAGTGTTGTACTGTTCTTTCCATCAGGAGCTGAGTGTGGGCAGAGAATGTGCAAAACAAGAATAGGGAGTGGTTAAAATATAGCACTTGCATAAAAGTTCTCACTGCTAATTATCTTCTGTTTACTCTAATTATCTTCTGTTTCCAGAGGTTCATATTATGACATATCAAGGACATCAGTCCATTGATTACTATATATCTCATAATTTTCTACACTACAGTCCCTTTCTTGGGTCTGTCCAAAACCTTGTCTCATGGTCAGGTGTTTCCGTGTCTTCCCAGGTGAATTCCTCCAGCCCATTCCCCGAAGCCAAACAAGGTCGACACTTTTCAAGCGAATCGACGTACTCCCATTCCTCTGCCGAGGATTCCCGGCAGGATGCAGCGGGCAGCACACACTCCTCAGGATGCAGACCCCCCTACCGAGAGCGGCGCTCGTGGCAGGACCTCATAGAGACCCCCCTGACCAGTTCAGGGCTGCACTTCCTGCAGACTGTTCCTCCCGAAGCCGAGTACTCGAGCGGCCGGCCCGGAATGTCCCCGGACAAACGAAGACAAGCCACGCTGCCAGTCCAGAGGCGACATAATTTTGAGCAGGACGGGCCTTTCCCTCTGGTGGAATGTCCCAGGGGACACAGCTCCCACGGCAGGCCCCAGAAACAACGCAGCCAGAGCCTCCCCCGGAACAGAGACGTCAGGAGCAAGGGCCGGGTAAAGTCCATCGAAGGGATGGATGACAGTCTGGAAGAGAAAGTTCCCATTAGGAGGCATAACAGTTTCTGTGCAGAAGGTGAGCTCTGGGAGATGTTCTGACCCTCCTGACTGCCATCAAAAGCCAGGGCAGTATTGCCATTATTCCCAGCAAGTTTTCTGTGGTTCAACTGCTGTATGTTGGCAAATTCATCCATCACTACACAGGAGTTCATATTTGAAATTCCAAGAGGTAACACTAAGAATAGAGCTTTGGGATGATCAAAAAGTTCTTGTTTTATCAAAACAAACACCGGGGAACGGTGTAATAGGGTTAATTTATTCATGAAGCTGCAGTATTGCTGGGGTTAGAGACTTCATCGAAGCAATTGGATTTGTTGTTAGGTTTCTTTATTTTCTTTCAGAAAACATAAAAGAGATTGAAGAAATCACAGATGGTCTGCAGGAACTGTACAAAACCCTGGAAGAAGCCAGTCTGTCAGCTTTTGGGGAGCAGCGTCCTTCCACCAAGCAGGAGTTCCGCAAGTCCTTCGTGAAGCGATGCAACGACCCCGTTATCAATGAAAAGCTGCACCACATCAGAGTTCTCAAGAGCACTTTAAAAGTAAGGCTTTAGCATTGGCTTTGTGATAGGGAACATAACCTTCTAAAAGTATAATCATAGAGTCACAGAAAGGTTTGGGTTGGAAGGGACCTTAAAGCCCACCCAGTCCCATCCCCTGCCATGGGAGGGACACCTTCCACTAGCCCAGGTTGCTCCAAGCCCCGTCCAACCTGGCCTTGGACACTTCCAGGGATGGGGCAGCCACAGCTTCTCTGGGCAACCTGTGCCAGGGCCTCCCCACCCTCACAGTCAGGAATTTGTTCCCAATATCTAATCTAAACCTGCTCTCTGGCAGTGGGAAGCCATTCCCCCTTTTCATGTCACTCCGTGCCCTAAATCTCTTAATGTTTTCTGTGGATGAGGCTTTGTAGCTTTAAAATTAAGTTGGAAATAAACTAAAAATCCTTGAAAGCAAACATGTTCCAGCTTAAGGAAAGAAAAGAATGATTATTTGGCACTCTGTATAGGCATGTTGTAGCAGGTGCCATGGACTGAGCTGTCAAATAGTTTAAGCTGTAATGGTTCCTGAATTTAGGTAAAATATTAAAGTGTTCCTGGCACTTTGCATTAAAGTGAAAGAAGAAATGAAGTGCTGAAATACAGGATTTCATTTTGACATGTCTTTCTGGAATTTGCCAGGCAAAGGAAGGGGACCTCACAGTTATCAACAGCCTTCTGGATGATCCCAACTTAACATCAAAGAAGTTCAAAGATTGGAAACTAAAGAACTATGAGTTTTTCCTGGACATTTGTGAGTACAGTGCTGCTGGGAAATCCCAAAATGGAGCCTCTGAACTGGGAAGCTCAGCCCCAATGCTGACACACACACACTCCTTCATCGAGACCCACGTGTGACAGGACTCAGCCTCAGTAGCTGCTGAGTGCCCTGAAAATCGAGTCAAACATTGGCATATTTATTGATAACACACTCAGCAGTACTGTAAATACTTGGGTAAGAGAATAGTGCCACAGGATGCCTCCTACATTGCATGAGAAGACAATAATATTTCAAATGGATTTTTTTTGTTTGCTGTTATCAACCAATGTCCGTATCAAGCTCTGCATTAGGGAGAAGTGGTGCAGAAGTGTAACTGAAAATAAATACCAGTATATTTAAAGTACTGTACTAAAATTAAGCTTATAGTATGAGCTCCTACAATCATTTTATATATTTAGATATATATAAACACATATCTATGTATATAAAATGTAACATGGTAGTTGACATTTCCTTTTAAAATGCCCTAAAGTTCACATTTTCACACACTGTTCCTTGAGGAAAAAAAATACAAAATGAAGGCATAAATCCATTGGCCACTCTCAGAGATGACCGTTTATTTTTGCAACATTTCCAGGTGGAGACCATCTTTGCAAATAAAAGGACAGAGTTAGCAAAATGTAAACTCAATCCCTATAGTGTGCCTTAAAATGTACACTGTACATCTAACAAATAGACCCCAGTCTGGCCCTATGGGCACTCTGTACATGCCATTAGATACTGTGTTTTTAACATGCTGTGCCTGCCTTTCCAACGAGGGAACAGGAGCAAGCAGGTGAGGCACAGAGGTAGAACAATGTTGGTTGTTCACTAATGCTGCAACTTCAACTGGTTTTAATAGAATTTGAAGTATTTCATGGTGAAAGAAAAAAAAACCATCTGCGCTGAGTAAGGTACCTACTGCAGGTTTTCATCCTTTCTTCACTGTGAATTTGAGTGACACATGACTGTGAGTCACAAAATTCAAAAGGAGAATGAGAAGGAAGTTTAAAAAACTCCTGAGCTAATCAATTACATTCTGTGACATCTATAGCTGAGTAAATTATTCAAAGTTATATAATGTCTGGCAATAATTTTTAACTGGTAGCAGTACTTTAAGCACGTGGGTGAAGTGATTCAAAGCATCATTTGAAAATCAATCTGTATGGATTGGTTTGGGAAGACACACAAGTCACATGGGGTATTTCACTTCCTTGCCTGGGTGAAGAATGGTTTCTAAGAATCAGATTTTGGAGAAAATACTTGTATTCTTGGGGGGAAAAAAAAAAAAGATTGTTCTGAATGCTAGTGAACATGAAATTCAAACACATTCATGGTTTTCTTTGACTCTGCTTGCCAGAATATTTCTGAAAGGCAGAAGGAAGGGGATGTGACTAAAACTGACGTCATTTCACTGAAACACAGATATTCACTGAGAATTTTTTCACAAGATAAACATAGTTGTCTCCCATACATCAAGGTGTATAAAATCCATGCCATTCAATATAATATTGAACTTAGTTAAAAATGTTATCTCGGTGAGGTCCCAGTATCCAGGAAGAGATTTAATTTTTCCCAAATGCAGAACCAGGTGAAGGTGTCCTGTGTGTTTAGCTCTGTCTCCACAGAGCAGCTGGGGGGGCTGACCTTGGCTGACCACCTGCCCTCATTCCCCCTCCTCAACAGGGCAGGGGGAGAAAATGTCATGGAAAAGCTCCTGGGCTGAGATAAAGACAAGGAGATCACCTACTAATGGTTATCATGGGCAAAACAGCCCTGACTTGGGGAAAATTCATTTACTGGCAATTTAAAATACAGTTGCATAGTGAGAAAAAAAAGGCAAATTAAAAACACCTTTCCCTTGCCTCCTCCCTTCTTTTCAGGCTCAATTTCATCCCTTCATTCCCAGCAAGCAACAGGATAAATTATAGAATCTATTTAGAAAGCAATTCATATTTACATGCAAGCACTGATGGATGCTCACAGAATTAGTTAAATAGATGGAACTTTCAATATTCCTTAAGAAATTTAAATTTGCCTTTTGTTTCAAACCCAAAAGATGGTTTGTGCTTTCATAATGAAAATATCTATATTATTTTAAAATAGCTTTCCACTGTATTGTCACTCAAGAGAGAAATTACAATTGTCCACTGAGCCTATTCAGTGAAGTCTGAGTAAACAGGGAAATAAGGTATTTCTCTTCTAAAATGCCACTTATAGATGCAACCAAAAATGATATACATAATTTGGAAGATACATTTCTCAGAACTAACACAAATAGTAAGGAAAGTAGATGATCTCAATTTTAAGTTAAAATAGATTTCTGAAATGCAAGTAGAAGAGATAAATAGTTGCGAGTTCATACTTTTGCTCAGCTTATCTTTCAAATCTTGCAGTGTCATGAGATGATCGCTCTGAAACTCTCAGAATCGTGAGTCTGCCTTTTGCTCCTGGAGAGCAGCTCTCAGCAGATGTGATTTGCACTGAACAGGCCAGATAAATTATCCAGGACATTCATAAGGTGAAATGAGATACACTGGAGAAATTTCCTGTAATGGGCTTAAGATTAACTGGGAGAAAAGTTTGAAAGATTTATCTGGCATTGCTTGTGCCTTAGAGCAAGCAAAATCTAATTGCTAAATTAAGCAATACAAAGACTTTATTCTTTCCCAAATGTCAGCTGGCTTTTGGGAGTCATTTCACAAGAACTTGTCATACTTCTTGCATATGAACTCAGCTCCAACCTGCAGCCCTGCACTTCCCACCACGAGTTTCTTCCTCCTGGCTGTAGGTACCAATCTGGCTGTGCTGCAGAAAATAATGTCCAAAGGCACGGTAGCACAGTTATCCAGAATTTCACCACCTTTGAAATCATTGGGAAGCAAAGTGCAATACAGACACTGTACTTAAAAATCCATGCACCAAATCCTGCTTCTGTATTAAAATATGTTAAATTTTCCTAGACCAGCAGGTATTTAAACACACTGTACAAAGCAGCTGGAACTGTTGTGGTAGTTTGGATCCCATGTTTTTCAATAAGAAAAAACAAGTCTTGGCTGTTGAGCTCATCAAGGGAAATAAACAGTCCCAGCACAATACATTTATTAATTTACAAGATTTCCTGCCTGAATGCTCAGGTAAAACTTGGTTCTTAACATGCACAGCTACACAAAGAGACTATTTGGATGTGTTTTATTGATCTGGATCTTATTAAAGTTAGTGTCTTCATTGAGAATTCTTGCAGGTAAAATGTCTCAGCCCACAGACTCTCCTGAGACTCCACAAGCTGAATCTTTTAGTAACTGGCTATTTTTCATTACAACTGATTTAATGTTCCCCCTGAGCTACTGATTCCTCTCTTGTTTCAATACTGTTCTATATTCAAGTGATATCTCAGATCTCTGAAAGTGTCTTGGTAGCTCTCTCTCAGCATCACTTCCTGAGAAAACTCAGACATTTTTCTTGGTATCATTAATTTAAGTGAAAATTTCCCTGAGCTTGCTCTAATTGATACGAACAAGAACCAAAGGAGGAGCAGCAGTTTTTCACCAGTCTGTATATTCAGCTCCAGGCTACTGCCTTTTAAGCTGGAAATTGTGGTGCTCTACTGGCTTTTTCCAAGGAAAATGAGTGTTGCAGAGAATTGGTCTGTGTACATGGCCCTTAACTCTGTTCTTACTCTTCAGCAGTCACAGCCCTTCGGGCCAGAACACTCCCTCTGGTCCAAGGTCTTGTGAAGGACAGGGCAGGGACCTTGGAAGGGGTTACTTTACTGGGAAGGGCTCAGCCTCCTCAAAAATTGTGGAATTCCACTGCTGACCTTTAAAAGGCTTCACTTTAAATGTCAATGGGACTTCTGGGAGAAAAATGAAGAATCTGGTAGGAATTGTTTAACTTAGCACAAATCCGAGGAGAATGAAGAAAATTCTTATATTTGTCTCAAGCAAAGCAAATCAACAAAACCAGCCCCATCTGCCATAGCTGGCAGCTGCCCCCAAACTGGAACACAAAGAGATCCTGGCTCTGAATCTGGATCCAGTCCTGGGGAGATTCCTTAAGGAAGAGAGCACCAGCCTGTCTGATTTACTGGGCTTCAGCCTGAACACCCCATTTATGGTACACCCAGATTCCTGTAGAGAAATGTTAGAGAAATAAGTGGTGACTTGATCTCATAAAGGATTTTAATTTCCCCTTAGTTTTCACAGAAGGGAAATGATGCATTTCCAGGGAAGACAGAAGGGCACAGGTTTTCCATGGTAGATTTTCCACGTACTACATGCCTTAGGCCACTGAGCTAAAATCTCATTAGAGACAACACAGCATCTTCCCTGCTGCCAAATGATGTTTATTTACCACTAGGACAAAATGGGTAATAGCAGAAAATACTGAAGAAGCAATATTAGCTCATTAATTTATATTCAGTAATAAAAAGCTCTTTTTCTTCTGGAATGTTTCCCTCATTAAAACTAAGGCTCAGGGTAGGTTTTCCAGGCAAAATGCTGTGAGGAAAGGTCCCCCATGTCCCATCCCAGAGGAATTCACACTGAGTGGCTGAGGCTCTCAGTGGGTTAAGTGGGCACAGATCTGAAATCATATCTGAAAATCACCCCTGAGCTCTATCAGCTGATGTATGGAAAATACATGGCTATTTAAACCAAAACTAGTACGTTGTATTTTCTTAGTTGATGGTTGTAATTATTTTCTTTACTCCCATTACATTCAAGCATAATAATGTGTTTCTCATCAGGTCCACTCACTAATATGTAGGCAGGGGACTCTCTACTCTTGTTATAACTAACTGACAAAGAAACAGGTTTTTAAAGCTTAGTTTCTTTATTTTACGGGTTATACCACACTTGCACATTCAGGAGGAGGATTAGAGATAATATTGTTTAAGCTTTTATCAGGTTTTGAGATAGGTGATATACTGCTGGGAGCTACTCTTAATTTATATAATTTATATAATTCAGGCAGATACTGCCTTCAGGAAAAGAACCATATTCACTCTTAATGCAGGCCAGGTAGGTCTATCTTTATTTTCATCGAGCACACATGAGTGTTAGAAGTGACTTTATGCATTAATGGCACTGTATGAGCAGTATTTGAAAGGAAGCAACATTGTATAAATGACAAAATACGTTGACAACCTCCTGTTTGAGCAGCTAAGCCCTCTAGCTTCTGTCCTCACATTTCTAGAATATTGTTCATCCTCAGGCATTGGTGAGGGTATCAATACAGACCTTTTTACTGACAGTAAATGTGTCTGAATGCTGCAGATTAACTAAGGATGTCCCATTAAACATATTAACTACCGCATTTTTTCACTAGCAACCACAAAGAAAATACGTCTTAACAAACCGTGTTCACTGGCCAAAATACCAGTAAGACCCTGTTACCAGTTAAGACTTCTGTTTTACTGAGAAACAAGGACTTCAGCTTAAAAATCTGATGAGAAAACAGGTTAGGATATAAGAGAAATGCACTAGTACTAATAAACTTTTTACATTTGACACATACTGTATTACAAAGACAATATCCTTGTAAGACCATTAATTGCTGGGCCATAGGTGACTTCTGTCTAGGTTACTAACTAGCTAATAAACCTTGTATAGAGCCTTTTTTAGATAACGCTTCCATGTATGAAAATGTATGACACCCTTGTACTATGGCTTGCACTTTACTTGCATTAAACTGTGAAGTAGGCTGTAGTAATGTCTTTGTATATTCAGGGGTTGAAATGCCAAAGCACTGGAGTATCGTACTGCTGGTGTTCAACCTGTCCCACGTGTGTTCTGCAAACCCCACTAACTCAAACCTTTAGCAAATAACGCTCTGGGGTCTCCATGGTCTTTGTTTCTTTGTAAATAGAAACATTCTTACTGTTTCTGTAGCAATAGGAGGTTATAAACCAAACTTTCACTAGGACTGTTTTCAATAACAAAAAAAAAAAAAGAGAATAAATCTATAGCGCCTTGTATAAAAATCATGGAGACTCCATGACCTGTGGGCATTTTTGTTTACAAGCAGTATGTATATATGTATTAGAGGCAGAACTGTTATTTATCACAAAGTTATGTTGTGGATGACTCTTTCTTAAATAACAATGTGTTTTCTGTCATTGAGAAAAAGTAAGTATTTTAGAGCCATCTTGAGATGTTTGAAGTGTCAAGCTTCAAATACGAGCAATCTTCCATGTTTCAGCCTTGTTTTTCTAATCAGAACTGAGAGGTAATGGCAAACCCCCTGTCCATGCCAGGGAAAACGTCGGAGTTGTAAGTTTTTTGAGCATTCTGCAACTTTTCTATAATGCCCATCTTGCTTAAGCGCTTTCCTGAGCAGATACTCCACAGTAAATCCTCAGCTCACGGATGCTACAGAGAGAAAATTAACTGCTTAGACTAATACAGGTCAAACAAGGTTTCAACCCCTGGATAATACAGTATTTCTTCAGTTTCCCAACAGTATTTTTAATTTTATACTTGTCTATGTTGAGAGATGACCCAATAGTTTCTATAGGCAACGAAAATTAGGTTTCTTTTTTTCCCTCTTTCCAGATGAGTTCTGTGTGAATTACTGTAACCGGCTGCGTTTTTTCTATCACAGATTATTAACTTGTTAACTTTTTGTGTGTCTACAATGAAAATTTATGAATGGAAAACTTCACTGTGTGTTGCTCACTGGGCATATACCTCATGGTACATTGCACAGACGTGTAAGTTGTAAGTTGCACTGCAACATTAAAAAAAAAGGAACATATTGCTCTTTTTTCAAAGATATTAACTTATTTAAGAGATATAGTCTGTACATTATTAAAAAAGAAAAGAGAAAAAAAAACATTTATTCTTCCTAAATTCAAACGAAGCTTTTGTTTTGGGAGGGGAAAAAAAAAAAAAAGTTGTAAACTTCAGTTGTAAATTTGGACTTCAATAAACGAATTATCTGCACTTAGATTGTGTGTTTAGGGGCGTTTGTGGGGGTTTATATGTGATCCCGGCTGACGGAGATCCCGCCACGGCTGAGGAAGATCCCTGCCCGCTCTAAGGTCGATCCCTGTCCTCCTGAGGGCCATCCCGGCCGAGGGCGATCCCTGTTCCCCTGGGGGCGATCCTTGTTCCCCTGAGGGCGATCCCGGCCGAGGGCCATCCCTGTCCCCCTCAAGGCGATCCTGGCTGAGAGCGATCCCTGTTCCCTAAGGGTGACCCTGGCTGAAGGCGATCCCTGTCTGCCTGAGGGCGATCCCGGCTGAAGGCGATCCCTGTCTGCCTGAGGGTGATCCCGGCTGAGGGCGCTCCCTGTCGCCCCCAAGGCGATCCTCTCAGAGCGACCCCAGCCCCGCCTGAGGGCGACGCCGGCCGAGGTCTCTCCCCGTCCCCCTGAGGGCGCTCCCGCCCCGCCTGATGGCGATCCCGCCCCGCTCCCCGAGCCCCGCCCGGTGCGGCCCTTCCCGCCCGCCGTACGCGGCGCTGCCCAACATGGCGGCCAAGGTGAGTGTCCCGCCGCCCTCAGCCCGGCTCTGCTCCCGCGGCCCCGCCGGCCCCGCTCCCCTCAGGGGCTCCCGGGCTCAGGGACAGCCGGGGACGCTCCGCGGGGCCGCTCAGAACCGCCCGGCCCCGCCGGTGCGGCCGGGAAGGAGCCCCGGGTGCCTCGGAACGCGGGGTCAGGTGAAGGAGTTGGGCAGTGACAGGGCTCTGTAGGTGGAAGGAGCTGGTTCAAGAGGGTGGTTAAATTGAGGGAATAAAATAAGTATTTCTCTCCTGGTTGTTCTCCGTCTACTTGCAGCTCCTGAAACACTTGCAGCTCCTTACTGGAGAGATGAATGTCGGGGCGATAGTTCGGTAGTAACGTTATGAAGTGTTAGTGGTGCTGTGCATCACTGAAACAAGGCTGCGAAATCGCGCTGTTACAAACTAACAGGGGCGCGAGTATCTGAAATACCTTTAGTTGTAGAGATAATGCAGTGTCTTTAAACAGAGAAAAACGTGCATGTAAGGACCTAGGCTTTCATTCGAGTGTTTAGACAGGTTTTGCAGTGTTCATAGTTAAATTGACGAATAGGTTGTTCTCAAGTGAGGACAGCGAGATAAATGAAAATGAAGCATTTTACCTTAGTGTATTATGGGAAAAGGACCTGTTTTGGCTTTGCTGTTTGTCTGGGTGATCTTGAACTGTTACAGATCAGTACATAAATCTGAATGTTTCAGTATCTTTAGTGAGGTGACCTAACTTTATGTATGTTCTTTATTATTTACTGTGAAAAATTAATAGCATTTCATTCTATGGGCCCCCATGTGGCACACAAAGATTAAAACCAAATCCCTGGAGTGTCGGTGAGTTGAGTTGAAGGAGGATGCTCTGCCGCCCTTGTGTGTGATTTTCTCATAGTTGTCATTAGAGATTTATAAGTACAAACCCAAATTAGGATACTGGACTTGGCATAGAAGCTTCTGGCAATCCTCATGTCTCTTGTAACTGCTGGGAAAAATAAAGCAAAAATATGTGAGACCTTTTTGTGATCCACCTCAAGACATCTGAGTGGTAGGAGAAAGCCATAAACCCGTGATATTATTCTTTAATTAATATTTCCATGGAAAATATGAGGTACCTGTTAAGTGTTAATCTTACTTTAATCTGGCTACTAGGTTCCCAATTTGTGATAGAGAACTTGTGTCTTTTTGTATATAAGTGCATCAGATTTTTGCATATACTCCACTCTTTGATTACCTTGGTTGTTTTGAGGCAGTTTCCTGACTCGTGCTCCAGTTCTTGAAGCAAGCACACAGAATTTACAGTTTCAGTGAGAAACAATGTCTTGAAGATTAGCATAAATTAAATATATGGATTTATTATGGTTTAGTTTGTAGTCTGCATCTTTTGAGTGGAAGATAGTGAATTCTTTGTAGTGATGCAGCTTTTTAACTTCTTTTTTAATAGAATCTGTATTTTTGATACTTAATAAGATTCCAACGCTTTGAAGCAGATTGTTTGAAATGCAAAGACTTAAACCCAAAGTTATCCAGGTACATTTGACAGTTTTCTTATTCTATTTTGATTAGTTTTACTCTAGTTCTACTGTTAAGAGGCGTAGCTGTAACAATTTCCTGCTGGGAGAGCCTGTAATACATTTCTTCAGCAAATAATTGCAGTTCAGTCTTCTCATCAAAAATAACACCATGTCTGTTTGTCTTTGGTGTGCTTTTCATGCCTGGGGAAAATAAACCTGCTGGTTCTAAGTGTTGCAGTGGCAGGAGCATGGCAGTTGTGTTACAGGGAATATTTAAACTCTTGTCATTGACCTTCCCTCCCTCCAGAACATTCAGGCTGGTAATTCTTAGTGTCTGTAATTCTGGTGGTGTTTGGGTCTGTGTCCAGACAGAATCCAGTTCCAGAGACATCAGCTGGGCTCGTGGCTGTTGTAGCTGCAGCTGTTTTCTGAATTCATGAAAAGGAAGATTTTTGATTTCTTTAGCTAAACAATATACGAATTTTCTTGTTTCATTCATAGGGTCTTTTAAGTAATTTTTAATAAAATAATTTTAATAAATGGCTACTACAAACAGCTTATTGAGGTCTTTTTAATGCACCTGATCATTAGGTAAGGAACAGGATAAACAAATACAATTTCTTCATGCTTTCTGACTTCCAAATTTAGTTTTTCTTCTTGTAGCTCCAGAAAATTGATGTTGTCCTGGTAGCATTTTGTACTGAAATAAGCAATCTGAATTATGATAGGTTTTAAACAGTTTTTTTTTCAATAAATCTTCAAAAATACAGAGTTATTATGATGGACATTCCTTTCTAGATTCTTTACAAGATTCTTCCATAGCTCAGACTGTGGCATTTTGCTCCAAGGAACACTGTCAGAAAGACAGTTATTGTGTTAATTGGAACTTATTTTGATTATCCCCCTCCTCTCTCACCTGTTCTCTGTATCCTGGAGCTGTTGGGTGCTGGGAGAGTTGACTTGAGGTACCTCTGTGCTGAATGGATTAGAACTTAATTTTCCTTAAGGGGTGATGGAAGCATCAGCGTGGCTTTGAACACAGAATTCTTCCTGATATTTTAGACAGAACTGTTGTCAGTGATCTCCAACTTTTTCTTTACACTGTAATTTGAGAAAATCATTGTCTAAGTCAGAAGAGGTTCCTAAAAGGCATAAGGTTTATAAAACATTTTAAAAGTGACTTGTTTAATCCAATATTTGATCAAGAAGCCCAAGGGGAATTTTCATCTCTGCATTAAGACTTCCTTTTTTTCCTCTGTCTGTCCCAGGTGGCAAAGCTGGCAGCTGTTTCTTCTGGGCTGCCTTTTATATGTATTACTGTCTATGCAGCAACAGAAAAGGGATCAAAAAGTCAGCTGGTGAAGCCAGATCAGGTACAGATCTTCCTGTTTGTTCGTCTTTAAACAATGCTAGAAAAACCTGCAGAATGCCAGCTCTTTCCATTGAATTGTGTTACCCAGTAAAGAAAACACACAGCAAAGAAATACATGATAATAAAGTAACTGACCACTATAGCTCAAATCATAGAATCATATCATAGAATCAACCTTGGAAAAGACCTCCGAGATCATCAAGTCCAACCCTTTAATGTTTGTTTGTTTGTTAAAAAACCCTCAAGTATTTTGGTACACAGTTTAAAAATATACAAATACATTCAATATCAGGGATCATTAAAGCCACTTTTTTAAACCATATCTAGGTGTGCATTATTATTTTCAAGGGAGATGGGAACCAAATCACCACATTAAATATTTAATTTGACAGTGCAAACAAATGAGAAACTGTTTAGACCAGAAATTCAGTGGGTTAGACAGCAACAACAACAATAAAACATGAAGTGTTGCAATACTAAATTAGTGAAGTTTTATCTCATTTTCTTTGTTATAATATATCCAGGCTGATGCCAGAAAAGTTTTTTTTCTATTGTGCAGTTTCTAGTAATACACACATCCATCTTCCA